GCCAGCAGGGTCGTGGCGGGGGCCGGGGAGCCAGGGGTTTTGCCGCCGAGGGACGCGGCGGAGAGGGCAGATTGGACATTTCGCATGGCGGGGAGGAGCTGCGAGATGAGGCCCTGGTCGTTGGAGAAGAGGACCTCGTTGCCGACGTTGATGAGGTCGATGTTGCTGGTCGGGTAGAAGGCGAGGACATTCGAGTTCACCCACTGAGCCGCCGCGTTCGGATCGGAGGCGAGCGCCGGGATGTCGCCGTTGGATGCGCCGATGGCGATTGCGATTCCGGTGCCGGCGAGGGCCTTGATGATGGCCGGGTCGGCGCCGTAGAGCCGGACGCGCTTGATGGCGGTGGACTGGAGTAGCTTCGCAGTGGCCGCCGGCGGAGGGAGGTTGTCGGCGACTTGGCCGTAATTGACGCCGATGAAGGACTGCGAAGCTGCAATTAGCAAAAGAGAGAGCAGAGAGTCGTTAGATGAAACGGTGCGTTTCGGGGGGTTTTACGATTTACGAGGTAATTGAAACAGAAAGTTTGATGGAGCTGAACAGTTCTATTAATTCAATTATGGAAATTTTAAAGGTTTGTTTCTTTTTCCGGGAAAGTGTTAACTTTTTTTTAGAATTCCGGGAAAGTTTTGGGAGGAAGTGATTACCTGCAGAATAGAAAGCGGTGAATAGGAGGGAGAGGAAGATGGGGAGGTGTGAAAGCGATGCCATGATCTGTTTGATTTGAAGCTCTGCTGCTTGTGCAGAGTGTGGAAGACAATGCAGGAATATATAAGGCAACGTCAGACCCCAAAAAAAGGAAAAAAACAATTGAAGTTTGTAAACAAAAGATAAGGTAACGGTAAGAAGGTGAGATTATTAGAGAGAGAGTGAGAGTGAATTTTCAACTAGCTTAGCTGGACAGGATTTTGAGTGAACTAGTGGGGTGAGGACCCACGTGTCTCTCAAACTTCTTTTTTGGAGTATTTTTCTGACCAAATGGCGGTGAGTCACCACCACGTTAATTCCAGTTGGATGAGTGAAATTCATCTAACGGTAATTTAAATTTCCCCACCAATTACTATGGTATAGTGAGCAAAAATGTTGTCATTAACGTAACGCCAAGGCCAAAACTTCACTTCTCTGTACTCTAATGATTGGTGAATATTTGGAAATGTATGTATGTGAGACTAACTTTTAACAAATACAAAGCTACGTGAACATCACCATAAAGAGTTATTTATGCTTAAATATCGAACTCATCACAAAGATATAGTTTTTTCAAATTCATGTGAGTCGATCATGAAACCTCCTCTAAATGGGGATAAATAACACCAGACTAACAATTGATAATTGGTTCACAATTACATAATATACTTGTTTGTAGTAAATTAGAAATTGTGCTTATCGACATTTCAACCTTCTTCTAGGGTTGGAGGTTTAGAATGGATCAATCATATAGTAGTGATTATATCTAATTGACCTTTCTTCCACAATCGCTCCACGTCACATTGGATTTGGTCATGCTAAGTAAACTAGTCCACTATAAACTTTAAGAATTCAACATCTGAGTCGAATGGGTTCGTTCCACATCACTCAGATTTGTCATACAGACAGTCGAGCCAATCATGAACATCCACGTGGCAACATCCATAAAAAATAAAAGAAATGTTAAAAGCTAGGATGGAGCCCGACATGGTTGCGTTCGCTACCATTAATCTTTCCTTCTGCGAATCTGATCAGCATCAGCAACACCTACCCACCGCGTGTGGAAACTTAGAATTCAAATGCAATGTGAAAAGGGGACTTTTTGCTTAAGAAAAAGTATTCCTGTACCCCTTTTTTTTTTATTGTGTTGTGGAAAAAAGCTGAAAGAAAAACTTGCCCGATGGGAAAGTACAGAAGGAGTTAAAACTGTAAATTCGTGGCAAGTTCTTGTTGTTACCTACCCTTTTAATTAATAATCTTTATAGTCAAGTCAACAGAAAGAACGAAAACTCTTGAGGTTTTGGTGAATGATAATTTAAGAAATGGAAGGATGATGGAAACTACCAGTGGGCCAACCAAACTACAGAGTTGGGGGTTGCTTGGAGAAGACTTGGGGAGAAGACTTGGTGAAGACTTGGTGAAGACTTGGCGAGTGACTTTGAGGCTGGACGGTGAGTAAATATGCTGAGGAAATGTGGTAGCGACAGCGAAGAGACTTGGGGCCCTCGGGTTGATTACTAGGCGGATGGAAGGATTATGAAGGGAAGAACTTCGATGAAATGAGGATGCCACCGTGTCGATATCCCAAGATAATCACACATTATCATATGAAAAAGTTAATATGCATGAAGGGCCGAAAGTGAGTTGGCTGGCTTACGATGAGAGAGACTTGCATGTCAATGGGATATATCCCCTTGTTCCTTTTGTCTCTCTCTCATCATGCAACTCCCCCCTTCCAGGCAAGTTTTTCTTGCATGGAAGAGGCCTAGATAAGAAGCTGGGCCATCAGACTGCCAATGGCTGTTCATTGTTTTGGCAGGGAGACTAGGATGAGGGGTTATAGTGAGGAGTCCTTAATAGCCGTTAGATCCATTACAAAATTATTATTGGATTGTTAGATTAAACCTCTCATTAAAACCCCATTGTAGTAGTTGTATAAACAATTCCAGCAGCATAACAAATGCGGTTAACATTTAACAAGGATTCAACAGTTTCACATTTGCTTAACATGTTTTCTTCTACTTGGACGAGCTTTTAGCTTTTATCAGACACCTCTCGACTTTACAAATACAAATTTTTACAGTCCAACCACAAATTTAACCCCCTTCAGTAAAATAACAAATTCCGAGCCAAAAAATGTTCCATCTTTAACACATCACTTCTATGTCAAGATAATGTAGAAGATGACTACAAGCATATAATCAAGAACAAATTTTGACATTACAAGCGCACAAATGCTCACTCCCGCTCACTCGCAGATGCAAAAACTTCGCTACAACACTCATCTAGAAACAAACTTTCGAAAAATCATGCAAAAGACTCGTTGTTTACGAGACATGCAAAAGAATCCCCTGGTTTGATACGCCAACAAAAAACCAGTGAGACTGATAAGAGCTTAACCAGCAAGGCTGTGAATGTGTCACCCTTATATACTGAAAGCAAGAGTAATAAAGGAGAAAATAGAAAGAAGCCACCCCTCAACCCATCCAAATAAATGATTAAAATAAAAGATACGCAAGCACTTAATCAGCAACCGAAAGAGTCCAAATTACCCTCCTGCTGAGTGAGAGACGGGGGTAGTTTCAAACCGACCATCCTTAAACACATGAATAAACTGTTCTGGCAAAGCATGCTCTGCCTGCAACATTAAAGATGTAAATGGTAAGCTCAAGAAACCAACATACTTACTTCTCACTTCTTAATTTGATCAGAAAATATGCATTTCCCATTTAATGCAGAAAATTTATAGGTTTTTATCAAGGAAACTAACAGTTAGAAACTACACGCAATCCCTCATTGTCAAGAAACTGAAATGATTTATATTTTTCAAATTTTTTTGGTAACCCATAATTGTTAAGGAAATAAGACCATTATATGATACTCCAAATTAATATAGGTAGAAAGTGGAATTGATTGGAATAAAAAAGAAGTATCAGCTATAAAGGGCCAAAGTAGGAAATAAAGATCCTATCCTAATACATTGGAGTATGTCCCCAGATGCTAATGGTATATTAGTACCTTAAAATATCACATTGAATTACTACATACCTACAAAAACCAAATTATGTAGGTACCATATACAAATAAAAGGACTTCTTCAGGCTCTTTGACATACAAGCATGTAGATATATCTCATATATTGCAAGACAATAATGTAGTCCAACTAAAAGCATACAGTATTCCTACCATTAAACACGTGAACCCACCATTGTGGTAGACTAGTTTTTTCTTAATTTTTAAGAACTTTTTATAAAAAAAAGAAATTTTAAGATCACATTCAGAACCATGGACTTCAAGCCTAACCCTAAAATCCCACCTTCCACCTAGCTACAGGCCAGTCACCGGAAAGTTTATAACACAGGGAAATTCACTTTGAAGAACGCAGATACTTGATATGGCCAGCATCCATATGAGAGATAGAAACACTCTCAGGCAACTACCAGATGGAAGCTCAACTTCAACCATCAGTGTATATCACCACTACTTAGATGCATATTAAGAATGCTATCTACCAATGAGAGGAAAAGACAAGACTGTTGTACGCTCTACCATTTCTCAGCAATTAAATATGCAACTTAAATTTCAAGCAACACTGGATATAACAAGGGTAACACATTTAGTAATACAGTAACACAACAATTTAGCCAAGCTTTCAGTAAAAATAAAATATGTAGCATTTGTACAGATTTCTAGATATATTCCCCAGCTTGCTAGGTTTAGGAAGTCAAAGAAGCATTTAGATTCTAAACCACTAGCTTGCCTTCCAAGATAACTTTAAGTACCAGGGAAGAACAAACAATGAAATCTTCGAAAATGTCAAACAAATACATTAGAATAGAATAAACATGGAAACATACCCAATCACCATCAGGTCCAGAAGCAGGTACTAATATATTGACCTCACTTGACTTAGCAGTAGTTACAGATGCCCCCAGAGCATCTTTGCTTAAGTAAAATTGGCAGCCAGCTGTGTTGTCCACTGAAACTGTAGGAGCCGAGCCCTAAAATAGCAATAAAGATAGTGCATATAACAAAGATTACAAGATGGTTTTATATATATCATCATATACGAAACAACAGAATGGTGATATTTGGGATGACAACGCTACAAAAATTCAATTTTGATGTCCAAAAATTATGATGGCAACATTGGAAACATCCAATTTCATGTCATAGAACCATTAAAACTTTTCATGGGAGTAATTGGTACCTGGCATTGCACCTCAACACGGTTGCAATTTACGATCTCACAAGCAGCCACAACATCCTGTGTTCACAAGAGAACAGAAAAATGAGCCTAGATACATCAATATGTATTGCTTCCATTACTAATCTCACACTAACCGTAAATAAGATTCCCATCTTCGTGCATTTGTCAATTGTAATGTTGTTTACTTTCCCTGCAAATTGGGCAAACAATTTTAAGTAGCACAGGCTTTTCATAAAAGTACCCTAGTAATTTTTAATTTTTTTTTGGTCCTGACAGGTACCTTAGTACCTTGTGTAAAACATGAATCTATAAAGTTTGTATGGAAACACAATTTAACTTTCAATGTATTTATACAATTCGGAATAAAGTTTGTCATATAGTTAAATTACCTTGAATTTGCACAACAGAGTCTTTGCATCCAAAAATATAAACAGACTGTTTCGAATCACAGTCACTAATAACCAAATCTTTCTTTCCAATCTGATTCTCAACAGCCCACCTGCCCAAGGCATAAAAATGATAAAAAGCAAAATTACATGGTGGAATAATTCTCATATGTAGTTTAACCATGGTAGAATGATCATGCTTACTCACTTGCGACCCATTTGGAGCTCAAGCTTTGGTGGTCCTGCTTTAGAAAAAGAAGGTGAACTGGTACGACTTTCTTTCTCCTGGGTACCAACGATGCCAGTTCTGTCGACCCGATTCTTTGTCTTCATATCATCTGTTACCTTTCTCAGACCTAGGGGACAAGAAAACCAAATCACATCCCTCAAACATTAACTTAAAAATTTTAATTAGAAGAAAAGAAATTACCTGTAGTCACAGGCTTGCCGGAATTAATCTCTTGGAAAACAGCTGCCATCCCTTCTTTAGGGCGTGATGATGAAGCCTGAGAAGTTTCGGAACTGAAAAGTGATGCTGATGGAGGAGGTGGAGGAGCAGGGGCACCTGGTGCAGGAGCTTTTGGTTTTGATGGAGCAGCACTGACAGCTTTGCCAGTTGAACTCCAAACTGGACCCAATGGATAGAAACTCTTAACATAATCTCTTAAACCAGGCAAATATAGTTCCTTGAGAGCTTTGGCCCACTCTAAATGATTTGGGTCTTTGGTTTTATACTCGACAAGAATCTGTATTTTACGAATCACAGAGTCAGCACCTACTCACTGGAAAACTTTACTTTGATGCAATCATTACATGATTGGTGATAATTGATAAATGCTCAAGAGAAATGACATGTGCAATTAGAGCATCTGATTCTATTCTTTTCATGCAAATTACCAGATTCTCACAGATATGCATAGTACCTTGTTGTTGTAAAATTCAGCCATCTGCCAACTTTCTTCGACATGTGCAATAGGCATGCTCATACCTTGAAAAGGCGAAAGCATAATAAGGGATTGGAAAAATGAATGAGTTCATCTGCTTCTAACACAACTTAGAAATCATTTATTTTGCTTACCACATTCTTTCCCTGTATAGGCAATCCAAGCCAAAGCTGAGAGACTGTCAACAGCACTCTTCAAGTGGTTGAAAAAATCAGACCGCCTCCCTTCGGTAAGTGCATTTGCCTTTGTGATAACCTCATTCAGAGGCTTCAGAAATTCAGCCAACCCTGCATTGTCAGGTTTCTGCACAACAACGAGCATTCCCATTGAACATAATGAATTTCATTTTACAAGGAAAAGTACAAGATAGAAAACATTTAGAGTAGATAAGCTCACACTCCTTGCTACTACTAACATTCACAATATCCTAAGAACTGTAACATTAATCATTTGAGTCGCCCCAAAAGTCAGCAACACCAAAGTTTGAACAGGAATATTCATCGTTGCCCGACTATGTTATAGCTGATATAATCCAAATATTGTATTTTCTTTTCACCAATTATCGCTAACATTTCATCGGTAACATTTTTTTTCCCCATCAACTTCTCACCAAGATGAAATGAACACGCACCAATCCGATCCAAACCCAACAAGATAGCACATTCCTTTCATGGTCCTTTACATAATGGATAACGTTTACGACCCAATCAATATTTAACATCAAACACACGGTTTTTAAAATCCAATCAACATTTCATATCAAAACATAAACCTCGTCGAATCCTTATACTAACCAAACAATCCATAAGTAAATCTAAAAATTCAGCACCCAAACAAAATGACACCCAAAAAAAAAAACACATAAATTCACACTCAAAACTATTAGCGCAAAGAAAGCATTACGATTTATGAGTGAGACTGACCTTTGTTTGCTTCACTTGAATCAGCAGGTCCTTCTGAACAGCAAAAGCCTGCTGGAGAACCTTGGTGACGTCCAAGACCAGTCCCCCAATCTTCTCGGCCGCGGCCGAAACCCTACCCAGATACTGCCGAATCAGATCCTCATAGGCCAAAATCGACGGGTCCAGCGGCCCGTCGTCGCCACTCGCCGCCGCACCGCCTGACAGCGATAGCGACTCTAGGCGCGCCACAGCCGATTCCAGCCTCTGTATAAGCTTCTCCTCCATAGCCGCAAGCTCAAACTATGTGTCTTCTCTGTCTTTGTCTCTCTCTCTCTCTCTCTACGGTTAGATTAGATCTGGTGGATTTGGTGTGGCCGTTAATTAGTAGAGAAATGACTTCCTTCGCTTTTTCTTTTTTTTTCTTTTTAATATTTGGGAATTTTTTTTTTCACACCGAAAGGTGAAAGGGGAATTTTGATTTGGCGGGTGTTAATCTGAGTCTTCGCGCGCGGTTTTGGGGGTTTGGCCTTAGGAGACGTGGGGACGTGGGGACACGTGGAGGACAGAGAGCGAATCTTGGCTGTTCGTGCGTTGTTAAACACCTCGCCTGAAAGTAATTAACTTGTGCTAACTCAAATTATTATTTTTAACTTGTGGGATATCATCAGACAAAAACTTATCTGGTCTAGGTGGGACCCTTCAAATTTATCTGGTCTCATTCTCTCTTTTTTTTTATTTATAAACTTTTAATAGTTTCATTTTACTGTCGCGTTACATGAGTTGTACTCTCATACATATATAACTCATAATAATTTCCGTACTCTCTAATACAATCAATTTTTTTTTTAATCCAAGTCTAAAAATAATAATAATGAAATACATCAATTAAGTAATACAAATTTGCATATGTCGTTACACTCGAGTTCAAACCCCGATTAGTCAGCCTTCTTCAATGGAGATGAGAGGGTTCGGTTCATAGCCCTCTTTCTATTTTTGCGAAGCCATTTAGTTTGTATAAGATTTACAGAGAGATGTACCGGCATCCGAGCATCCGTGCTAAAATGCCTCCAGAATTTAGACGCTATAATCTGCAAGTCATTGGCCATGAGCGCAAATGCTTCAACTTTTGTGAGGGACTTGACAAATGTTGCGGAGAAGGGTAAGTCTGAAAGCGGGGAGAATGTTGATGCCCAGGTTAGAAGTTCTTCTCCACAGAAATCACCTTTGGCAAGACACTTGGTGGTTGAAGAACCTCCACTACTTGTTCCAGCACCATTATTAGTTGTGTAGGTCAACACAATGCCTTGAGTGATGAAGAGCATTTTAACAAGTGGTTCACCCTCTCCAATTATATAGTTGTCTTCTGTATAGCTCATTGGCTTAAGATTGTCAAAGATTTCTTTCAACACTTGATCGTCCATAACTCGAAGCATTGGCACCTAATTTTAGATGTTAATTAAGAAACTTAAAACGGTTTAGAAAAACTAAACTAGGAATTATAAAATTAATAAAAAAGGAGACAACTATTTTGGAGTTCCATTAACATCTCCCTTTACTAATTAAAATAACGAAAGATTGAACGCTTTGGAGATGAGGGGAACTTACTTTCTTCATTGTAGGCCAGCAGAGATGTCGCTTAATAAATCTCTTTTGTTCCAAGGGAAGAATAGAGAGGATATTCTCCACATGAACATCTTTGTTTTGTTCAAGTTGTTTGTGCACCTTTTGCATGATCGGCGCCTTCATATTCTTAGGGATGTCATTTTCAGATAACCAGAATTGTACCTCTAGGTCTTTCATTTTCAACTGCCGTATAATTCTCATCTTGGCTGATGTTCTAGTTACCAACTCCATACATATCTGTTACACGACAATCATGAGTTCTTTTAACCCTAATTTCCATGTCAACACCATCTAGCTTTGCCAATGACTGTTGACGTGAGTCTCCTAATTAATCAAGGAGATTTATTTCTTTGATGAATTAAGGGATTTACTTTCCTATTCTATATAGTTGACAAATCATTGTATAATTAGGAGATACTATCCTAATTGATTACTATATCTATTTCCTTATAAAGCACTCATATAAACTCCTATATATATATATATATATCTCCTTATGGAGAAGAATAAAACCTAACCCAAAGTATTCAAACCATATTCATATTTTAGCTTGGTATCATAGCAATCGATCATAGGTTGTCTCTGAACACTTATCTCAAATTTCTCATATTCAAATCCAAAATCCAAAATCCAAAATCAAATTCCTCATATTTTTTCCCACATCCAAATCCCTCAAATCTAAAGTCCTCAAATCCTCTTATGAAAATCCCTAAACACATACCCTTAAATGAAGCATGTAATGAATCTACTCACTAAAACATAAATGCTTGGATGTAAGTCTGCTGACACACTCATTGAGATGAATCACAAGTTGCGTGAAGACATGGACCAAGAATCAACCAATAAGGAAAAGTACCAACGCCTTGTTGGAAGGTTGATATACCTGGCACACACAAGACCAAATATTGCATATGTTGTGAGTGTGGTTAGTCAGTTTATGTATTCACCTAGTGTTTCTTATAGGAATGTAGTTGATCGGATCTTAAGATACTTAAAGATAGCCCATGAGAAAGGATTAATGTTCTCAAAAAATAGAGATATTGAAGTTGTTGGATATACAGATGTTGATAGGGCTGGTTTCAATACAGATAGACGCTCTACTTCTGGTTACTTTACATTCATGGGATGTAACCTAGTCACTTGGCGGAGTAAAAGGCAAAATGTGGTTTCTTGGTCTAGTGTATAAGCAGAGTATTGAGGAATGGCTCACGGAGTTTGTGAATTATTATGGATTAGAAGACCCTTAACAGAATTGGGCTTCAAGACATAAAAGCCAATTGAGTTGCATTGTGATAACAAGTCAGCTATCGATATTGCCCGTAATTCAGTTCAACATGATCAAATCAAACATGTTGAGGTGGATAGACATTTTATCAAAAGAAAAAATTGAGAAGAAGATCATCCGCTTACCATTCGTAAAATCAGAAGATCAACTGGCATATATCTTAACAAAAGTTGTTTGTGGCAGAGTATTTAATGACTCACTTACCAAGTTGGGCATTGGTGACATATATGCACCAACTTTAGGAGGAGTGTTGATGTGAGTCTCCTAATTAATTAAGGAGATTTATTTCCTTGATTAATTAATGGATTTACTTTCCTATTATATATAGTTGACAAATCATTGTATAATTATGAGATACCATCCTAATTGATTACTATATCTATTTCCTTGTAAAGCACTCATGTAAACTCCTATATATATATATCTCCTTATGGAGAAGAATAAAACCTAACTCAAAGTATTCAAATCATATTCATATTCTGGCAATGACCATCTAGTATATATGTAAATTTTTTTAATTTTTTTAATTTTTTTAATTTTTTTAATTTTTTTTAAATATAAAAAATATCACCATCTAGCTTTATTAAGCCAAAATAATTGTTTGATGAACTCCAAGATTGAGATCCTTACAACAAAACTCCAATACTAAGTTAATTGAGAGAGACATTATGTACTTTTTTTATTTATCAGAAAGACGTTATGTAATGAATGTTTTAATTTAGAAGTTCTGGTCAACATGGTCTAGTCTAGTGGAAGAGAGTCTTGATTTGCATATTAGAGGTTTTTCGAACCTCCTTTGCATCTTAGTTGTTTGTGTGTGAAAAATCATCGTTCCCTCCCCTGTAGTTTAAACTATCACTTGTACTAAAAAAAATATATAAAAAAAATTCTGTCTTTTTGAAACGAATAGTTAATTATTTTGTATAATCCAAGGAGTGAATGCATAATCAAGCTTTATGGCTGTGATATACAATTGGAGATGGGTTTTCATTTTGAGGAGCTTTAAGCTTAAAAGGGAAGATAAAATTATATTTAGACTTAGCACCAACCTTCAAATTTGTAGTGAGGTATAGTAGAACCAGGAGCAAGCCACTTAGAGAAATAAAAATGGCAAAGATGTTTTCCCATGTATAGTTACTCGTCTGGAGGTTTTGCCCGAGAGAACTGCAGAATCGAAAGAGAGGAAATATATAAAATATAATATCTTAATTAGCACTTAAATTCAATGTAAATTTATTCCTTTTAAAAAATTATTTAAATAGCCAAGGAATGCAAAATTATGTTCAAACCTTAGATTTCGCAAGCCCCACCAGAAACAATGAAAGAATTTTTTTGGTAAATTTGTTGACTCCAACACACCAGACTGAACAGCCTCAACAAACATACCAAAATCGAAGGGTGTTGCATTAGCATTGTGTGGATTTATAGAGCATAAGTCGTCTAGAAATGTGATGTTTCTGATTGTACGACCATTGCAGTAAAAGGTAGTAGGTTCACATCCATTGTTGTTTCGACATGCATTTTGCCAGCAAGCCGTCTCCCGCTGGATAGCTAAAAAGTACCAAAAAGCTCCAAATGCCTAAAAACATCAAGAAGTAAATTAGTAAACGAACTTTTGAGAAAAAGTCATATGAAAATAATGTTTCTTGTTCATAAAGGCTGACAGGATTGATTAATTTGAGAACTTGGTTTCCAGCCAAGAAATCCAACCAAAACTTGGTAATTAAGTGGAGCATCACTTGAGATAAATTAATATATGAAGATTGAAACTTACATGACTAGCAAGGATGTACAAAAAGAAACTGAATGCGCCTTTAAATAAAATCCATATCTTAGTCTCTCTAGCAGGAGTCTTGTTGAGTTTTGTACACAATAAGTAGATGCGAAGAACTCGTGGTACATATTGCAACAGAGCAAGAAAAGCCAAAAACTTCATCGTATTCAAAGAACTAGAGTCCATGAAGATAAGGATCACTGCCTAGACACAATACAATGGATTAAGCCAACAGTTAATTTAGCTTATATTCAAATATCCTAATTTCAAATACAAAAATTAGTTGAAAAAGAGAGATTGGTCCTAAAACAATTTACTCATACCTGTGGAATGGGGAGAACAGCTAAAAGGTCAATTAAGATGTGTGATGAGATCCTCCAAATCCTGTTAGCCAATGCCAAAGCATCTTCAACTAATATGGTTCCTTTTGTCAAAACTATGGTATGAAGATATGATCTCCCCATGACCCTAAATGTTGGAACTTTAGGTTCGATATAAATTTGAATAACAATGTTCACTACATAAAATAGATCCATTGTCGATCGTAGTGAAATAACCGCTCCCTTCAAACTTTTGTCCAATCCAATGCACTGCGTATCTTTGTTGACAATAGGAATATAAAAGAATAAAGGATCTATTAAGACCCCAAATACACATGATGCAAAAAATGGCCCCTTCCACTTTGGAAGAAATGGCCGAACTAGATAAAAAATGCTCTGTACTATTTTTCGCCATTTTCTACTTGATCTATGCCCTTCATTTACAGTAGAAGATTCCTCAACTGCCCAACTGAAGACACATCATAAACAACATATCAAAATCAGGTACTATAAATATAGATAAATGAAGCCCTAATTAACTTTTCTATGATATAATATGGACCCATGCGTTCTTTCGTTTTTGTTGATGCTCTTTTTCGGAGAGGGTCAACTTAGAGAAAAAGGGATTTGCCTTCAGCAGGGAAAGGGTCTGGGCCTTCAATAAAGGCTAGCCTGCAGAAGACAAAAATAGGGGAAGCAGTCGTCAAGCTCCGGGCACCGGTGTGGTGCCGGCCGAAGGCTCTCCGATGCTTAAGTCAGCTAAGAAGGGTAACTTTTGCAGAGTAATAGTAAAAGGCAGGAAAGTAATTACCCCTCTTACTAGGGTACTGTTCCCTTTTTATAGGGAAGTGAAAGTGGGAGGTTGGTGTAGATTTCCGATGTGGGACTCTGTGCAAGTTGCCGCGGTGGTGACACGTGTCATGAGAATTAGGTTTAACAGTTTGTGAGCTTGGGCAGTCGGGAGTTTCGGCAGGTGCTTGGCACCTCGGAAGAGTGTCTTCCTTCGGCAAGAGAGAAGGCGTGTCTGCCTTGGTGCTAGTTGTTTTGAGACTGGATATGCTCGGTTGATTATGGTGTAAACA